CCATACAAATGTGTGTAATATATATATATATATATATATATATATATATATATACATAAACGCTAGCGTTCTGCAGTAGTCTGCCTGGGACATCTTTGACTGTCCAACTTGGCTTAATTTTGTTTTAAGTAAGTACGTAATTGTGAATTGCGTTGTATTCATTTTTATCCTCAGAGAATGGTGCTGGTGATGAAGATGACGAAGAAGATGAAGAATCAGAAGATGAAGAGGAGTATGGCCTCGAAGTACTACAGCGGAGCGGTGAGCTTGAAGATGACGATGAGGAGTACTACGCTCCAGGTAAACCGACCTATTTTGATGTTTGGTTTTCATGAGAGCTTTGGTTTCACCGATGAGGGCTTAACCTGTCATAGAAGTTTCACAAGCTTGGTCTCTGTTAAATCCAAGGACATCACTGTTCCTCAGCCGAATTACACTTGATGAGCAGCGCAAGCGCCGCTCCCCATTTTGAAGATACTATGCATGTACTTGACTTGACTTTGTAGAGTGCAAGTGATCCACAGTGAAAAGCTAGGAACTAACTGGTCGTAACAATAAGTTCTATTCTAAACATTATCATTTGGTAATATGTACCATGGATTTGGAAGCAAACAGGGTGCCCACTAAAATAATGTACTCTCAAGGTGATATGCATCCCAATACCCCATCTCTTATTGTTTTTGTTGCGTTGGCACCGTGTTCGTACTAATCGCCAAAACCATCCAATTATTTCGTGCCATAATCAACGAAGTCTACAAAGAACATTTGAATGTCACCAAACGCGTTATCATGTCGCTTATGGGAAGAACCACTCCGATGGCTTACCTTGGGTGATTGTTTGTCTCATTTGCAGGCGGTCGTGGGCGTTTAGTGAGATATGAAAAGAAGTAACGATTTTTTCGCCTCCTTGTTACACAATGGTTTACTGCAAAAGGAGTAAACCCCATGGTCACGAACGTGATAGAGAAAGCTATTTGGGGTGATATTCCAGTGAGAGCCAATCTGTTGATCCTGCTTTTGAAAAGCGGTTTTCAGTAGTAAGAAATACGGGAACGGTGTGTTCCTCCAACTTCGCAGTCCTGGGGGAAATGGCTTGAGAGATAGATGTCCGACATCTCAGGACTCCAACCCGAGCGTGATGAAAGAGAAGTCAAGTGGAGGTGAGTCGCCGAATCTACAGGTCTGCTGACGACATCGTGACGTGCTCGATATCGGCACCTAGCTCGATTGGGCCTGTCTAGCAGGTTCCTCATCGCAGGCCAGTACAATTTGCGTGTACCGAATCTGCACAATCCCTCTAAAAGCGTATGAACCATATGAATAATCAACTCAAAGCACTGTCTCTGCAGTTCAGCAAGGGACAGATGCATCGTGGAGCGGGAGTTGTGCTACACTGCAGACGCGCTAGGTACGGTAATCTTATGTATCTTCATGGGTTTTGGCTTACAACACAATTCGTGTCCTAGGTCGAAAAGAACCGAAAAGAACAGCAATCCTGGTTAGGTTCACATCAGGAATGCCCAATGACAGTGTGATCAATTCGATGCCAAACAGGTGCACTGCGTGTATGCCCACTATGTGATGAAATTGGTATTCGACAAGAATCTGTGGCATGTACTGATTGGAAATAGGTCATTTTCGTTTCTCGTTCTGTTCGATGAAATGGATTCAATCTTTTTGATTCACGGATTTCAACAGGGTGGTAAAAACCAGCCTAAATTGCAATGTTAGATGAGAAGTCAATGTATTTTCAACGGACTTTCCCCTTTTCAGTCATCGCTTTTAGGCACGGTAAACAAGCAACCCACTTTATTCATGTTGACCGGTAGCTTGATTGGAAATCGGTTGCGATTTAACTGCTTACCCGTGGTACAACACGGTCTCCGCGAAGACAACACATCTGGTACTTGAATGAATTACATAGAGTGTGCTGAGCCAAGTTCGCTGCTGTTTCATTGGCGAAAAGCCAGATGACGAGTAAAATGACAGTTATAGGAAATCAAGGGGATCTAGGAACTGAATCGCTTTCCAACAAATGCAGCCCCGTGTACTGCTCGTCTCTTAGTTTTCATCAGGACTAATGCCCAATTTAGTCAAATGATTGACGTGATACGATGACGTACAGTCTTCACCAATGCTTGGCTATGACGTGGTGTTTCTGTCGGCGCTTCCCGGCTTTTTCTCAGTCCGTTTCGCAAAGAAACGTTCGTTTCAACCGTAAAAGTTTAAAGACCGTCTTCAAACCACATCGCTTCGAGATGGGAAATGATAACCTCGTAAACCTTATTACTGCCTTACTGTTCCACATTAAACGCAAAAGCGCATTCATTCACCTTCGGTCGAATCATTGGTCATTGCCATTTTCGAGAAGGGGTCTCCCAACCATTGCGGAGACCATCGCGGGATAAGTTCGATCCCAATCGTCCTATTTTGACATATGACTCATTGAAGATAGACCAACATCCGTGAACAAGAAGCCGAATTCCGACCTGGCTGTAAATGTATTGATCAACTTTTTCTACATCGCTTCAGGTCCTTGAGCTACGTCACTCACCGATGACCGACAAAGGCAGTGTTCCTTGATTTGAAAGGAGCCTTCGACTCAGTTAAACGCGAATCACTGGTCGAAAAGTACGTTAACTTACTCACACACCTCTAGTAGAGTTAGGGTTTAAGACAAAGTAAGTGGGCCGTTCATCACCAAAAGCGGCGTTTGTCGAGGGTGCCCTCTATTATCATCAATCATCCTTCCTTTCGCCATTCTTATTCAGTTTTCTTGTAGACAAAATACTGGTGGGCGCACTTAGTGGTAGTAGGTATTAAATGGGTAGGTGGAGAAAAGCTTTGCGATTTGGAGTTTGCCGAATGTATAGAGGACGCGTTATTCGCACTTGATAGACTATCAAACGCTGTTGCCACATTCCGTTTTCGCTTTGTATCTTCTGAGTGCAAAGGAATGCTGCAAGACTGAGTGTCGCCTAGTCCCGCACTGAAACTAAATGGCCAGGAACTAGTTATGGTGGATTTATTTTCCTACTTAGATTGTTGCGTAACCAACGACGATAGCGCCCGCATTTCCAGGCTCCAGCAGCATATGCAGAACTGGAACACCTTTGGCGTAGACGCGACGTGTCACTGAAGTTGGAAGGTGTAAATTGTGCTAGCTCGGCTTAGCCCACATTGAATGGAGCGAACCTGTTAGTAATCCGGAGGTGAGCCGTCGTATTCGACAGTCTATCAGGGATAAATCTGCTAGCTCATCGAATTCAGGTTAGTAGGCTTTGCTGGCTAAGGCACGTATCGCGTATACCCAGCTTTTGTCTGCCACCGCTCTTTATTTGCTGTAGCCGCTCCGGGCTGGAGAAAACCGTATGGAGGTTAACCAATGACGTGGAGACGAGGCATGAATAAATGCAAAGAGTCTTTGAGTAAAGTAGGTCATTCATGTTGGGGTCCGACATACTGAAAATGGTTGATTGGAGACGTTGCAGGATATGACATCCATCCGACAGCAGTGGCGTCCTTGTCATTTCTCATCAACCCAGAATGCTTGTCCGATATGTACGCTTAGTTCGATTGTGTACTGTGTTGGTCATAGAGGTTCACCTTCCTCCCTCAAAATAGTTATCTGTACAACTTATATATTACCACCACCACCATTGCGAGTTTGGCAGCGATCGCTTCACTGTTTTCCGCTTTACGATGATGATGATAATGGTTCAGAGTAGAACTAATAGGGTCGGGAAGAAGCCGGTGATCACGAAGATGGGAAACGACGTGAAAATACTTATCTTCAGATATCCGACTCGCCAATCGCAAGTTGAATCGGTAGTTCTCGCGAAGTCATTCAACCCACACGAGTTTTTCCATGGGGTAGCGGGGAACGGTTCAGATTGATCGGAACATGTGGAACTATCGGTTTTGGTCAGACCTCGATAACAGCTGTTGTGGACTAAGGATGTAACCTGATCCAATGAGGCCGTTCTCCACCTTCGAGGAGGAACTAACAAAAGAAATCGAGTTCACTGGGCACAGAATTGACTACGCGTTATAGTGAAGAGGCACGGTTATTATCTCAAAGTGGCTGTTTTGTTTGGGGTGCACAGCATGACGTTACTAGGTCCGTATTTCCCAGACCTGACGTGTTAAGCCGAACGCAGTGCGCATTGCCACCGTTGAATCCATCATGCAATAACTGACAAGTGTCACTTACTTCTGACGAGCAGCGAAGGATCACGGCAAAGCGATCGGTTTTCGTTACCGGATGCACAGATCATTCGAGAGGGTGTGAATAAGGCTAGGTTGCGATCACGGTTTGCAATGTTATAGTTTCTTCGGTTGAAAGTGGAAGTGAACTGCAGCTGGTACTTATACTCAGCTGTTTCCGGTCGACTGAATTACCTAGGGTATTATTCACGCATAAAACTGATGGTGGCATCGATTTACTCCCAGGTGGCAGGTTGTCTGATCTAGAGTACGCAGACGACATTGTGTTACTAAGTGAAGATCCAGGTAAGTTGCAAGCTTTTCTGGAAAGTTTGAGTGCTAGTGTTGCCATGTTCGGTATGCGTTTTGCACCTTCAAAGTGTAAAATGTTGCTACAAGATTGGGTTGGTCCAGCACCCAGCCTCATTCTTACTGTGGAAGTAATACAGCAGGTGGATAAGCTTTGTTATTTGGGCAGCTACATCTCACCCGGTGGATGCATCACGGATGAAGTGTCAGCTCGCATACAGAAGGCTCGGTTGGCATTTGCCAACTTGAGACATCTGTGGCGCCGTCGCGACATCCGGTTGTCTGTGAAGGGTCGAGTGTATGCCGCGACAGTTCGGCCAGTCCTGCTATATGGTGCAGAAACTTGGCCATTAAGAAAACAGGATAAAGACAGACTGTCGGTGTTTGAACACCGCTGTCTATGCAGCATTGCACGAATCTGGTAGGGTAGCCGGATAAGCAATGCTGAGGGGAGGCGCATCTCATTTTCACTGCAACCTCGAACCACTGAACTTCTCCATTTTCTGTTCGACTCCACTTTCAACTTTCCTTTCTTCCCCTAATGTTCATCCAAATGGGCAGCCAAAAGACAGCAATCAAATTTGGCGCACGAATGTGTGGTTAATGGTTGTACAAACTCAAACCTTAGTTTTTGGTTATTTGTGATCGCAAATAATCCGGATCCGAAGATCATAATTGAAACAATCAAAGTTCTTCGGTTGAATCTCCAACTGCTATTTGTCTCTGGCCTTCGTTGGCTGCACAGCAGTGAACGCGTAATCAGGCTTGGAAGTTGGAAGTGACTGGCGGTCACGCCAAAACACAAAATCGCAAGGACCTGGGGAACTTGGATTTAGCGGCCAAAAGTAAAGAACTAACGTTTTTATCACAGTCTCGGGTTGGGAAACGGTGTCCTTTTTCTGATCTTTTCAAAATCAGTCTTGAACACTGGAGGTTTGGAATACTGTCTGTTGTGACGGACTACATGGCTTGCCGTGCAGTTGCCAATCACTAGCGGAAGAATTTTCCCTTATCAGTCTCCATCCGAGTCTGAAAGCTTAACTTCAGAGTCCATTGATTTTTGTGTGCGACCTTTTGATTTCTCTTAGGAAGCGCGAAATGCATTTCAACTACGATGCTTTATGATTGTGTTTTTGTCTTCATCTATTTCCAGCAGAAGACGAAGAGAATGAACTGGATGATTACGACGATTTGGATGATGACGAGGATGATGTTGAGGAAGATGACGGAGCAAATCTGTCTGGTGCAGATGTTACTGGTCCCCGACGTCCAGCTGCCAAACGGCGCCACGAGACAGCTGAGGAGGCCGACGACCAACCAGTAGCAAAGCACAAGGTCCCCGCGGAGGAAGAAAAAGAAGAGCCCTCAGTGAAAAACGGATCGACCAAGGATAACTAGATATAACGTCCTGGTTTTCAATCTCTCCCCTTTCATTCAGGTTCCAGTTGTACATGTTCCAAGCGACAGGCATGTTCTGTTTGAAGCAGCATTTAAAAATGTTAACCAATAAGTGTACAGTGCCGTGTACTACTTACTGCCCCGTCTTCTCGGCCTCCGTATTTTCCCCACCGGATGCCGGTTCTCAACGCATTTAAACATTGTACTATTCAGGTGTTCGATCGGCGATCTTACTAATTCACATCCCACCCATTATTCGTTCGCACAAGTCTAAACCATGATTCTCAAGCTTTTTATTATGTCATTCTTGACCTCGTATTATTACTATTCATTCTGAATATCTCATGCAATTTCAATATGTGCAAAATTTGTTTACTAGAGATCTGTTGCTGACAAAATCTGTTTTTAACTGGTCGAGTATTCGATGCAACAATTGTGCCTAGCTAAAGGGGTGCAATTAACTGTTTCGAAAATGGAATACTTCGTAAAACATAAGGGTATCGATTCAAACTTGTGGGTTCACTGTGGTGAAAGAAAGCCACTCAGTCGCATTGTCATAAATCACACAGCACATCGTGCCCGTTTCAGATTACTTCATCGACCCGCTTTTACTCCATCCATGCATGGCTGATTAACAATCAGCGTTTCGATGAACCACTTGTCATTTCAGAACTAGTTCAGAGACCTAAAATATAGGTATGATTGAACGTGAAAAGGCTAATGAGAGATAAGGATGCATAAGATGCACCGACGTGAGTAGAAGAGGATCTAACCATCACGTTCGTTGGTGCTATCATGGTGACATTGAATAGGTCCTGGTTTCAGCGCAAAATCTTCAGTTTGCTGTGAAGTATAGAGTATCTTGCGGTTCTTTGGTGTCAATGAGGTTAGTAACTCGGAAGTGCTCTTGTTTGCGCTGAAGGCAAGAACGTTATTCCAGTATTTTACTTCAGATCCGTTGTCCCTGCCTAATTTTCTTTGGGAGCACGCGGAACTTCCTATTACGCTTACCAAATGAATTACGGAAAAGTTAAGCGCAGTTTGTGTGTATAAAGAATCGAGAACTGGACTGATGATGCATGAAAGTGTATGACG